GCAAAGGCAACTATCTCTATCAAGGGGAGACGTCGTTATAATCAAGGGTAAAAGGAAGAACCGCGGGCACTAGGAGCTAGGAATCGTCGCTGAGCTGATCACTGGCAAAGATGGCGTCGTCAGGGGTGCGAAGTTACGAGCTGGAAAGTCCTACCTTGGGTGGCCTATTCAACATTTGTACCCTCTTGAACTGTCATGTGACATGACTGCAGGTGGGCCTATAAGAAACCTGGATCCTAAAGCACCAGTGTTCAGGCCGACGAGGGATGCCGCAGTTGCAGCCAAGTTCAGAATCCAGGACCAAGGAGACGACGAGGAGCTATCTTAGGAACTTATTATGACGTTTATTACTCATAGATTATTAATCGGACATGATTTAGTCACCTTTCCTTGTTCATTCCTTTCGGAAATGAACAGGGGGAGTGTGTGTGAGATTATAACATTGCGTGACAATTAAGATGGACACTTAATTATCGTGGTAGTGATCGGAATGTATCTCATTAAGGGATCAATTTCAATACCTTGTTTTTAAGCATGTTATCTTAATTTTTTAGTTAGTTGGGTTAAGATTTCGTGTGTACCTTTGGCAGTGAACTTTTCCTATTTGGAATAAACAATTGAAACTGTGAAATCGTGAAGTTTCTGCGTTAGCATTCACGACCGATACCGTTCTTGAAATTTTAAGCCGCGCTTCAGAGTTTTTTTAATAGGCTTCGAAACGTCGTCAGCCTTTCGTTTGCCACTATTGTTCCGGTGTTCATCTATCTCTTTCCTTGTAAACACTGGTAAGCTTTTAAGAGACTCATACCACGGGATATCTTTCGCAGTTTGCGCCTTAGGCTTCTCGGTGTTGTCCGCCATGTTTGATGTTTGTCCACCCGAGCCTCACTTCCATGTTTTCGCGCGCGTGCTTGTGACGAATGCGGGAAAGGTCTATACAATATGTTTCTGTCTAGTGTAAATTAGCCCAGTAGCGAGTAGCTGACCCTGTCGCATTTTATACTCGTAGAACGAAAATTATTTTTGAAATTTCCAGTTACGTCAAAATAGTCACGCTATATTTTGGGAGACGGAGGGATTCGGGGAGGGGTGCGTGAAAAAAATGCAAATCGTTTCCTGCAGCCCCCACTTAAAAATGGTACTCATTTTTTTTGTTCTGAAAGTCTTCAAAAGGGTACAATGTTCTGAATGAGTTTATGTCTCAGTCTCACATGAGATTCTGTCTCACGCAATGGTCGGTGACAAGGTTTTATAGTAGCCTGAGTGTGTATAGCCGTCTCCTTCCTTCAGAAAAAATAGCCCCTTGGCAGCCCAGTTAAAAATCGTCTTTAAGCGATTCTTGTTCAATTTGAAACGGCTCAGCCGTTCTTCTCGCCTAGCCCGGCCGGGAATTTCGACTTTGTAGCGATCTTAGAACGGGTTTGATTCAGGCGCCGAACTTTTCATGTGCGGAACCTAATGCATAAATTGTAAAAACGTACTTTGCAAGTAGTTTGACAGCTTTCCATTGCAGCTTTAAGGTAAAAAGATTAACACAGGTAAGATCCAGTCTAAATTATTGTATGAAACGTTTTCTTCTTAAATCTCTTCCGAGCAAATGGCTATGAAAAAATATAACGAAATGTTTAACACTGAGACCTTTTAATTAGACTCGGAGAGAGTGTACCCATTACCATTCAAAATAACGCTGGACACAAAATTAAGAGAGATTCAATACAAAATACTCTATAGAATCTGTTATACAAACGCCATGTTGTTCAAATTTGGTTTAGCTGACTCTCCATTATGCTACTTCTGCAATGAAGAATTAGTGAATTACGTTTTCTTTTCTTTTAATTGTTGCACAAAAAAATTATAAGAATGAAAAAAACCAGGCAACAGGTTAGAGCGATTTTACTTGAACCGTGAAATAGGTAGTAGAATACTACGCACTATTATGCACTTATTCTACTGTCTTTTTTTGTTTGCCTCTCGCTATTTTGCACTATTTGTTAGTATCTGTTTCACGGTTCAAATAAAATCACTCTAAAAACAACAACAACAACAAAATAGATTGTACTCCGGGGAATGGCCTGAATATATTTTACTTCCGACTGAAGTCTGTAAACCAGAAAACTCTTCATATAAACGTCGAAAAGTTTCTTCCTTTCAAATCAAGTCAGAATTTCATCTTATCTTAAGACCCCCCTTGGCATGGCAAGAATGATAAATTTAAAGCAATAAGTGGGCATACTAGGGACATACGTAGGCCTCAAGTATCCCCAAGTTCTACTTTGAATGTGAATGGGGATTGCTAGTTACTAGAAGTTATTGGTAGGTACTATAGTAGTTACTAGCAGTTGTCGGTAGCTACTTGTACTTGTAGAACAGGAAAATGATGCACCATTGTTCAGAATGTCACCGTGATAAGCTACATTGCGATGTGTACTTCTGTGGATGGAACCACGCCTTTTGCTAGATACTTACAGAGAAAATGATGTTGTATTGGTGTCATTGAAAGTGTACAATAGGGAACCAAATTCCTTACTTCCATCTCGTCAATAACTTTTCCGTGCAATTATTATATCTTAAATGATGCCACGCCCTTTATTGAGTACTTCAAGTAGTTCAGTGGTGGAGTTAGTTTTAACGAAATAAAATAAAAAATAATAAGCGACTTTAAAAGAAGCCGGCGTGCAAAACTAATGTCAAAGTCTAAAGACCAAAGGCATAGTGTATGTTGAATATACCTAGTATGATCTGCGATCTGCATCTCTGTCCGATCCCTTCTGTTTTAGTTTTTTTCTTCCAAGCAATTCAAAGAAGGCTTTTCGAAGACAGGATTTGGTTGCGACTGCACCAGTCCGTCTTGAGAATCTGGACATTAGCTCGAATTTTTAGACTCTAAAACTGGCGGACTAGAGTTAATATTCCCATCAACAGAAAGCTATTGCTCAAAAGAATCATCAGGAATATCTGACTCATCGAGATAAGGCTCACTGGGATCATCAAATAATGGAGGGTCAATTGGCCTTAAGCTAGGATCGATAGATGGCTTCATTCGATTCACATGCACGGCAAAAGTAACTTTCTTATTAGTATCAGTGCGCAATCGAAAATTGTCGATAGCTTTCTGAAATAGTGTGACATTGTTTTTGTTTTGTTTTTTATTACTTTGCCATTGCGTTACTAGGAGCTGTCAAGTTAATCACTTTTTGATCGGATTACAGATAATTCGCTTTTACGCTTAATAGGTTAGATGTTATTATAGTAAACGGAATGATGTATCAAGTCAATCAACGTTGTCGGTTCTTATCGTGAACAGGAACAATGAACAGATGATACTGATATATTTTAGGTTTGCATGCTCACGCGATATATTCAGATGTAATCAGCTTTTGTACGGAACGGGTCCTTTTTGGAAATACAATAGATCACTTTCGAAGGAGTTGGATTTATTACTCATTCTCAACACAAATTTGGTCCTTCGAGCCGGATTTGGAGGCGGCTAGGGAGCCAGATTCAAGGAACGAGGAGAATCATGTCTGTGGATGTTAAACAGCAAATCAGGATTCGAGGTGGCCACCGCGCGTATGTTTCGATATTGCTCAAACGAGTACCAGAAGTAGCTCCTGATGACGAGGAGCAAATAGAACTGTTGAGGATCTCTCTAAAGGGAAAACTTTCAGTATTGGAAGACTTGGACAAGTCTATTTTGGAGCTCGTCGAGGAAGGCAACATTGATAAGGAAATTGAAGAATCGGAGGGCATCAAGGATGAAATTCACCTTAATTTACTCAAACTGGATTCACTCTTAAAGGAATTGAAGACACCTTCACAACCTTCGGAACCTTCTCTGGTGTCTACAAGTCCTCAAGTGAGCTACAGGGTCAACGTCACATTCAACCAAACTTCCCAAGCTCGTCTTAAAGAAATTCTCGGGTGATCCCAAAAGGTGGCAAGAATGGTGGGATAGTTTCAAAGTCGCTGTTCATGAAAATGGCATTTCGGATGTCGAGAAATTTAACCATTTAAGAAGCCTAGTAGAGGGTGCAGCATATGCTACGATTGCGGGATTATCTCTAACAGGGGAAAATTACAAAACAGCAATTGATCTTCTTCAAGAGAGGTTTGCTCAAAAACAGATCATCAATTCGCATATGGATGCTATGCTAAAGTTAAACAGTGTGAGTACGATGGCCGATATTAAGAAGATTCGCCAGATATATGACCAAGTTGAAATCCACGTACGTGGATTGCGAGCACAAGGAGTGGATTCCGCGCAGTATGGCATGCTGCTCATCCCCATTATGATAGCAACAATACCCGAAGATCTACGCCTTATCCTCAGCCGTCAATTCTGTGGTGACAATTGGAATTTAGATGAGCTGTTAAAGGCCTTTAAGACAGAACTAGAGGCCCGAGAAAGATGCGCGTCTTCAAGTGTGGGAACATCAAGCCGTGCTAATCAAGTACACTCATCGTTACCAAAATGGAAGGGAGAAGAAGCTGAAGGGAATTCAACAGCGGCAGCTTTGGCGTCCTTTAATCGAAAGATAAATTGCACTTATTGTCACAAGTCACATCCCTCTGTACTTTGTAACGTTATCACCGACGTGAAGGCTAGAAAATCTTTGCTTCTCAAACAAGGGAGGTGTTTTATTTGTCTCAAGAAATCACACATTGCACTCGATTGCCAAAGCACGATAAGATGTTTCAAATGTCAAGGGCAAAATCATCACGCAAGCGTTTGCGAACAAGATCCCATTATGCCTGGAAATACCGGAGGCGATCCAGAGATAACTTCTCGTAGGAACGAAAACACTGTACTGTTTATTGATACTAAAACGTCAGTTTTGCTTCAAACAGCAAAGATTTTTGTTTCAAGGGCCGATGATCGGAATCACCGCATTCAAGCTTATTTTTGACAACTTATTTTTGACACTGGAAGTCAACGCTCGTATGTGTCCACTCGACTGAGAAATGCTATTCAGCTGCCAACTATCAATCAAGAGACATTGATGATAAAAACATTTGAATCCGAAACGGGCCAGATACAATCATGCGATTTAGTTCAACTTTGCGTGCAAGGAATGACGTCGGAAACTTACTTGTATGTCAACGCTTATGCAGTTCCTATTATCTGCTCTCCACCGCAAAATCAAGCTGTCAACTTTGCCGCAAGTACTTATCAACATCTCAGTGGGCTGCTTTTAGCAGATTCGATTTCAGCTGACGAAAATGAAAACAACCTGGAGGTCGATGTTTTGATTGGAGCCGATTATTATTGGCATTTTCTAACCGGCGCTATTAAACGGGGGGAGAGCGGTCCGACAGCTCTGCAAACCAAGGTTGGCTGGGTACTCTCTGGACCTGTTCAAGGGGAATCTGCATTAATCTCAATGCAAGTCAATTTCACGAACACTCTCGCACTGCGTCTGGACACTCATAATCAATTCATGGATGAAGGTTCCGAAAACCGGGCCTTAGAAAGAAAACTAGCCAAATTCTGGGATTTGGAAGCCATAGGAATTTCACCGGAAGAAAAATCAGTGTACGAAAGATTCAACAAAGATATTACATTCAAGGACGGCCGATATGAGGCCAAAATACCGTGGAAAGAGTGTGACGCAACTCTGCCCGACAATTACACACTCTGTCAAAGAAGACTTAAGTCTCTCACGTGAAGACTTCAATCAGAAGAAATCACGCAGGAGTACGATGCTGTCATTCAAGATCAGCTTGCAAGGGAATCATTGAGAAGGTGGAAAGCAGCAAAACATCTCACCCTGGGCCAGGAAAAACGAATTATCTCCCACATCACCCCGTCATCAGCAGAGACAAAGAGACAACAAAACTCAGGGTGGTGTACGATGCATCAGCTAAGATGAATGGAACCCGTCTTTAAACGATTGTCTTTACTCTGGACCAAGCCTTCTTCCTAGTATTGCCGATGTGCTGATGAGATTCCGATTTCACGAGGTCGCCCTAGTTGCAGACATCGAAAAGGCATTCTTAATGGTCTCTATATCTCCAAGTGATAGAGATGCGCTCAGATTCATCTGGCTGGATGACATCCACAAGGATAATCCAAAGGAAGTCGTTTACCGGTTTTGCAGAGTTGTCTTTGGAGTAACGTCAAGCCAATTTCTTCTGAATGCCACGAAAAAGCAACACCTCCAGAAATACGCAAATGGAAACCCGGAACTTGTTAAGGCCTTGTTAAACAGCCTTTATGTAGATGACATGACATCTGGGGAGTCAACCGTCGAAAGGGGGTTCGATCTGTTCGTTAATTCAAGGAAAATCATGGCAGAAGGCGGATTTAATCTTCGGAAGTGGCAGTCGAATTCACCGCAACTACGGTGCCTCATGCAAGGTTTCGACAAACTCTCTGAACACCAAGTGAGTCATCAAGTAACAAAGGGCAGTTTCCGAGAAGAAGATGACACTTACGCAAAAACCACCATTGGAATGGAAAATGCAGCATATTCTCAGTGCGAACAGAAGGTTCTTGGAGTTAATTGGAATTACCTTGAAGACTGTTTGATTTTACCACTCAAACCATTTGTAACAATTGAAAAGATCTACTGCTGGACTGATTCCACAAATGCGCTTCATTGGATCATCAGGACGAACAAGGAGTGGAAGACGTTCGTGGAAAACCGAGTAAAGGAAATCAGGTCTTGCGTACCTCCCTCATCATGGAATCATTGTCCGGGAGCAGAAAATGAAGCCGATATTCCGTCAAGAGGCACACATGCATCAAAGCTGAGTGAGAGTCCAGTATGGTTTCGTGGTCCTGAGTGGTTGCAAACAAGAGAAGATATGTGGCCTTCACACAAGACCGAAACCGAACCACCAGCAGAATGTCTCGAGGAAATAAAATCCTCTACTTTAACAAATCTGACAGCGATAGAAGCATCCGCGGCTGCTATCATCAACTGCAACAAGTACAGCAGTCGTCAGCGACTACTAAGGGTCACCGCCTATGTCAAACGGTTCGTTCATAATATCAGCCAGAAAGAAAGGATTACTGGACCTCTGAGTACTAATGAAATACAGGAAGCCGAAATCTTGTGGATAAAGGAGATGCAAGGACATTTGCAAGTAGATGAACTCGAGAAGCAACTTGGACTGTTCAAGGACGAGAAAGGCATAATTCATTGCAGAGGACGACTTGGCAACAGCCAAGCATCATATGACACAAAATTTCCTGCGCTTTTGTCACGGAATCACCATGTCATGTCATTGATCATTCGCTGTTGTCACGAACATGTCATGCACAACGGTTTACAGGAAACTTTAACAGAAGTTCGTTCAAAGAACTCGATCCCAAAGGGGAGCCAAACTGTGAAGAAGGAACTGTTCGAATGTAATGTATGTCGAAGATTTCAAGGCCGGAGCTATCCAGTTCCAGAATCGCCAGATTTACCAGAATTTCGAGTCAGGGATGTGCACGCTTTCAGCTGTGTAGGAGTTGACTTCGGTGGTCCTTTGTTCGTAAAATGAACGGTGAAGGATGACCCAGAGATGACAAAGGTGTATATTGCTTTATTCACCTGCGCCACAAGTCGAGCAGTGCATTTGGAACTGGTCTCAAGTCTAGACGCTCCAACGTTTTTGCTCTGTCTTAGAAGATTTACTGGACGCCGTGGTCTCCCAAAACAAATTGTTTCAGACAACACAAAAACCTTTCAGGCCTCAGAGAAGACCTTAGTTAGTCTTTTTGAACTGGAAGACGTACAAGAGCACCTGTCCAGCAAGGGGATAAGATGGCAGTTCAACCTGGCGAAGGCCCCATGGTGGGGTGGATTTTTTGAGCGCTTAGTGAAGCAAGTGAAATCCTGTCTGAAGAAAACACTCAGAAGATCGAAGCTTTGATTTGATGAACTCACAACTATCCTTGTCGAAGTTGAAGCAGTTCTAAATTCAAGACCTCTCACGTACCTCTATTCTGAAGAGCCTCTGACACCATCGCATTTAGTCATTGGGCGAAGACTTCTAACTCTACCCGTGGGACCTCTTCAAATTGATGATTGGGACTTTGGAGATCATCTAACTTCTACCAAACGTTCTTGCTATCTTGCAGATCGAATTCAGCACTTTAGAAGAAGGTGGTAACGAGAATATCTCGTCGAGCTGAGAGAATTTCACCATCCCAAGGGCAAGAATGTCAAGTTACCTCCTGTAAGAATTAATGATGTTGTTATCTTGCACGACCATGGAACCTCACAGAGAGCGTTCTGGAAGCTTGCGAGAATTACAGATTTGATCAAAGGAAGAGATTAAAAAGTTCGCGGAGCACCAGTGTTAGTTGCAGGAAAGAAGACTCTTATCGAGAGACCCCTTCAAGAGTTGTTTCCACTGGAAGTTCATGCTAGCAACATAGAATCAACCAATCAAAATAGTATCACAGAGGATGAACCTTGCAAAGTGAATGATGGAGTTTCAGCTACATGGACAAGACCTTGCCGAACCGCAGCGGTTGTTGCAGAGGAGAAAATCAAGCTTATTGACCACTTGTTAGGCTAGGAACTGAACTGTTGAATATTCTCCCTGAGCCACTAGAACAAGTGCTCAAGGGGGGAGTGTCGATAGCTTTCTGAAATAGTGTGACATTGTTTTTGTTTTTTATTACTTTGCCATTGCGTTACTAGGAGCTGTCAAGTTAATCATTTTTTGATTGGATTACAGATAATTCGCTTTCACGCTTAATAGGTTAGATGTTATTATAGTAAACAGAATGATGTATCAAGTAAATCAACGTTGTCGGTTCTTATCGTGAACAGGAACAATGAACAGATGTTACTGATATATTTTAGGTTTGCATGCTCACGTGATATATTCAGATGTAATCAGCTTTTGTACAGGACGGGTCCTTTTTGGAAATACAGTAGATCACTTTCGAAGGAGTTGGATGTATTACTCATTCTCAACAAAAATGAACTGGAGAAGGTTGTTCGACTATTCAGTACGGTCCCAAACAATTATGTAAAAGTTTCCTAGGCAAACTCTTTCTAGTCAGGAGAGTAAACCCAAACGCACTGACCAACTTCGAAGATAGGTTCTTTTGCATTCTGATCATAGTGATCCTTCATTCTCTGCTGAGCACGCTGCAAATTTTGCCTTGCCAAATTTTGTGCTAACTGGAGCTTTCAACAACACGTTAACGATGTTCAAAGACTGAAGCAGTTACGTCATCAGTAACTGGTGGTAAATACTTAACATCTACGGGCAAACGAGGTTCGCAGTTATACAGAACGTAAATGGAGAAATTGCCAACTTAATTCCGATTTCTAAATGAACCACATGCTCTTCAACTGACTTAGAAAATACAATTATATATTATTTATATATAAGCTTCAATTCTTTCAAGATATGGCCCATAAGCCTTTGGAAACTTGCTCCAGAATTCGTGAGACCAAAAGACAGTACTAAAAATTCATAAAGACCATTGTGAGTAACAAAAGCAGACTTTTCTCGGGCAGAGGGATGCAGTTCTATTTGCCAATAACCGGCCTTCATGTCTAGCGTACTATAAACGTTTGTTCCACTTAAATAATCCAAAGTATCAGTAATCAGAGGCATAGGAAAAACATTCTTCTTCATAACCCTGCTCAATTTACGATAATTAACACAAAATCTCATAGAACCATCTTTTTCTTAACTAAAACAACAGGTTAAGACCAAGCACTTACAGACTCTTGACTAATTCCACGATCAAGCACATTGTCCACTC